TTATACCTTTCCAGCAGGATTGTGAACCATTAATAACTACTCTCTGAGAATGATTATCCAGCCAGTTATGTACCCACCTTATAGTAGCCCCATCTAAATTGTATTTGCCCCATGTATTGATAAGAATATCATGCAAGACCTAAGAAGCTGCCCGCCATCTTACCTACCTGCACCGGGCTGGACAGCTCCCCATTAAGCACCAGGGTTGCCAGGCTGCCTCCGTATTGGGCTGGACAGCCCGGGATTTTCACTTCCTGGCCGGGAAAAGAATCAGAAAGTACCAGACATTTTAGGTATCCAGTATTTTCTGATTTTTTTTTTACCAGACAGGAGGCGAAAGTAAAGGGCTGTCCGGTTCAATACCGGACACCTGGCAACCCTAGCCTCCCTCCCCCCCCGAAAATAGCTCACGCTTCTAGGGAACTTTCTGACCACAGATCTCAGAGCACTTTTCAAAGGAGGCAAATATTGCTCTGATTTTAAATCTCTGTGACATGCCGGTTTTTGCCAGTGTGAGGGGCTGGATACTGGGGCTGAGGGAGAGTGGATGAGGTAGTTCACATTCTTGGAGTGTTTTTTCAGGGGTAGCTCTGTAGTATAGAAACACGGACAGAGCTCTCCTTGCATTTCAGGCACAGGCTGGGTTTCCTTCTAAAACTTCAGCTTCATTCTCTCTGGGGCTCACTTGCCTCTGTGTGCAATGGAGATAATCAAGTCGTCTGTGTTGTCTTTTTAGAGTGAAATATCTTCAGGCAGGGACTTTTTCTTCCTGTGTGAATGTCTGGCTTCATGCTCAGGAGACCTGTGTTCAGTTCTCTGAATGTCACAGACTTCCTGTGTGACCTTGATCAAGTCCCTTAGACTTTCTGTGTGTAGTCACCTCTCTCTTTAATAGCTGTTATAGTGTGTGTGTGTTTTTCAGGGCTGGGAAGGATAGCTACGCTAAAGAGGGGTGATGCTTAGCTCCATATGAGCACCCCGATAGCACGGTGGGATCCTGATTTACACCATAGTTCCCAGGTGCTGCTGTGATTGATAATTTTGCTTTCCATAGTGACTGCAGTGCTGTATAAGTTGCTGCTAGCGCCACAGAGAGTCATTACGGCTGTTCAGGATGGGCAGCTTTTTCCGGAGCTCTGATGCCAGCAGCACTGGAAAAGTGTGTGGCTTATCCATTCAGCACACTTCAGAGTTGCCACTAAGAAAGGCCCAGGCTCCATTCGGAGGCTAAGTAACTCAGCCAAGTTTATTGTGAAAAGGAGCAGGATGCTACTGTCCCAGCTTCTTAGGCACAGGTATAGTGAGACTTGTCCCAACCCAATAATGGTATCAGGTCAGTCAGCAATCAGAACAGTGCCCCTCAGCCAGCATCAACATGCCCCTTCTGTGACTCTCATACATTGACACAAACGAGATGCATGTTGCGTTCCATGTGTTGCTACCCCTTTAGCCTTCTTCCTGTTTGTTTGAACAAAACATCCGTATCCATTATCACCACATTCTGCTCATGTGCAGAAAGGTAAGTGTGTTCCTGAGCCACCTCTTAGGACTGTGTGTTTGCAGTTACTGCAGAGATCGGTGTGTTGATTGGCCTCCTCCTGCTCAGGAATGTGCTTGCCTGGTTAGTTGGTACACAGTGCCCCACCCTTCTGGCAAAGCCCAGCCTGTTCTAGTTCAAAAATAATAACCATAAACAAGATAATCATAGTCATCAGGTCAGAACGTTCTCCATGACATGGCACACAGTATGCTTCGCACAAGGATTCTTGCAGTTGTGTAACAGCAGTAGCACAATGCTCTCCATGGTAATGTCACAGGTGGATCTTCTGAACTCTAGATGAAGGTCTGAGAAGGAGTGGGGCCGAAGCCAAGGGGAACATGCTCAGAAAGTGTAAAGGTGATAGATTCTGTGCAGCCCTGGAGGGGCACCAAATCAAAGGCCAGGCTTGCCACAGGAGCCAGACTGGGAAACTACACAAAGGCTGCTGCTGGTAGAGTAGAACTGAGGCTGCAGAGGGAGCTGAGGAATGCCCACTAGCACCAGAGAAGCAACATGGCCCAGCTCTGCCCTGGCTTGCCCTGAGAGAAGCCCAGTGCCATCCTTGGCAGCAATGGGAATGGCAACTTTTGTGGGCAGCTGGTGCTGTGCTAAAAAGAAGCACCCAGGATCTTTTTCAGAGGGATAAGGCAACACGCCACATTTATTGAACATACATAGATTAATCAATACTTTGTCATATGCATATGATACATTACACTTATGCGCATGCTCTCTCACTCACACTCTCTCTCTCTCTCTCTCGCTCCGTCTTGTTGTTACCAATAGTTGCTCCCCCATCTGCACTGGCCAGGTGCATTAGATGGGGGAGGGGTGGTGCTGGGCTTCTTTCAATCTGGATCCATGCTCCAGTGTTGATGAGATGGAAACCTGGGGTCCCTCTGCAAGATGCCTCATATTTATCCCTCTCATGCAGCCAATTAGTTATCACCTTGTCTTTCTTAATGCTTCTTGAAAGAGAGTTCTTTGAAGGGCAGGCACTTGCTGCTTGATTTCCAAGGCAGTCTGTATGTCCAGTCTTCTTTTCAATGAGCTCACTTCACAGGTATTGTCTGGGATCTGGCTCCCAGCCCCTCTGTACCCTTGCAACTGTTGCTGGATGTGCTCACTTTTCATTCTCCATTCACACCTCATTCATTTCAACAGGGCAACGTACCCTTGCAACTGTTGCTGGCGGTGCTCACTTTTCATTCTCCATTCACACCTCATTCATTTCAACAGGGCAACCAAAAAAAGGGGAGAGTTCTATTCTATTCCTAGCAAAAGACATTTTTCTTTACCTTAACTATTTCTAAGACCTATAGCATAAAGAGCCTGATATAAAGTTTTTATGGAAAAGACTGGATACAAGGTTTCTCTTAATACAAGGATTCTATAAGAAAGCTTAACAAAGATATATCTAAAAGAACAATATATATATAATATCTTAATACAAAGTTATATGAGAATGATACATGGTCATATGGAAATGTTAGAGATTTACCTACACTGGCAGGGCCCACCCAGACACAGGCAACTGGGATCAGGAGTGTGGAACATAGGCAGGACCTGAAGCAACCGGCCAAGGATTAACTTAGATGATCAGGGAACTTCTTCTGCCTCCTTCTGGCCCAAGTAGAGCATCTGAGCCAAAGATCAGGGCCAGCCCAGCCCACCAGCCAGGAGTTTTTTGGACAGAGGCTTGGGGAGCTAGAGCTCTGCTGGGTCCTTCCTCTCCAAGTCCTAGTGACCTGCCATGTGGCAGCTGCAATCTGAGCCCTGCCTGGGGACCTTAGTTTCAGACCTGCAAGCCCTTACTAGCACTCCCCTTCCGAGCAGTGTGCTCCTATCTAGCCCTGGGATTCCAGGGGGTTGGAATGGGCTGTGAGGGGGACTGAGTTGTACCCTAGAGAGTTCAGCAGTGCACTTAGCTCCCCTGGGGAATGAGCTGGGCCATTCCCAAGGCTGGGGGGAGGGAGGGGGAGGAAGATGCACCTTTACTGCAGGTCAGTGTATCCTGGGATCTTGTACTAGCCAGATCCTAGTCTCTGCAAGGTGGGGAAAGGAGCCTCTCTGGGTGGGTGACTCAGATCCTCTGGATGCAGTAATGGCACAGACCTTAATGAACAAAATCAGCACTTGGTTCATTGAACTCCAAACAGGATTTCCAGTCTCCAAAACTGATGTGATCTCCTGGGTAGAGCGAGAGGAGGAGTTCTGGGTTCCAGATCCCCGGAGTTGTGAGGAAGGAGTGATCATCAGCAACACCCACACAGGTGAGCAATCAGTTAAACTGACTCAGAAACCAATATCTGTCACCTTATAGCAGGTGTAATTTGTGTGTTTTCATGAAGTCTAACAGATTATTCAGCCTGTCTTCAACTCGAGTCAAGAGTGTGGTGGGTGGGGAAAGGCTGGGTTCTCTCCTCTGTGGAAGAGTTGAGGAGGAGGAGGATGAACTCAGCTCACGATAATTTGACCATTATTTGAGTGTGTGACCCCTTTTCTATTCCTCTTTCAGAGTTTCCTTTCAGCTCATCATGGAAACTAACTCCTGTCTGGATTCTTTCTCTATCCCAGCAGGTGATGGGACACTGACTGAGAACCATGAGAAGTGTCTTGAGCAGGAAGGACTGGAACAAGTGGCTCCATGTGGGAGGTTATTGGGAAGATCTGAAGAGCATGTTTCCCAGATAGATGAGCAAGGAGAAAGCTGTGAGAGACAGCATAGCCCAGAAAGGCAGCAGGGAAACCATCCAGGAGAGGGACAGGGTAACTCCAGTCACAGGAGCAGAGGGGAGAAAAACACAGAAACCATTCAACAGAAAATCCCCCATCAACAGTCACCCTGCACTTGTAGTGACTGTGAAACTCTTATTGAACATCAAAGAGCCCACACAGAAGAGAAGCTCTTCAAGTGCTCTGACTCTGGGAAAACCTTCAGTGAGCACTCTCACTTTATGAACTGTCAGAAAATACATACAAGAGACACACCCCCTAACTGCTCTGACTGTGGGAAAAGCTTCAGTAGACGTGCAGACCTTGTTAGACATAGGAGAACCCACACAGGGGAGAAACCTTTCAATTGCTCTGACTGCGGGAAAAGCTTCCGTCAAAATCCACATCTTGTTAAACACAGGAGGACCCACACAGGAGAGAAACCTTTCAATTGCTCTGACTGTGGGAAAAGCTTTATAAGGAACTCAGACCTTGTTCACCATAGGAGAACCCACAGAGGGGAGAAACCCTTCAGTTGCTCTGACTGCGGGAGAAGCTTCCATCGGAATTCACATCTTGTTAAACACAAGAGGACCCACACAGGAGAGAAACCTTTCAGTTGCTCTCACTGTATGAAAAGCTTCAGTAGAAGCTCACACCTTGTAATCCATTGGAGAACCCACACAGGGGAGAAACCATTCAGCTGCTCTGACTGTGGGAAAAGCTTCAGGGAGAGCTCAGACCTTGTTACCCATAGGAGGAGCCACACAGGAGAGAAACCTTTCAATTGCTCTGACTGTGGGAAAAGCTTTATGAGGCGCTCGGACCTTGTTCACCATAGGAGAACCCACACAGGAGAGAAACCTTTCAATTGCTCTGACTGCGGGAAAAGCTTCAGTCAGAAGTCATGCCTTGTTAGACATAGGAGGACCCACACAGGAGAGAAACCCTTTACCTGCTCTTACTGTGGGAAAAGCTTCTGTCAGAAGTCACACCTTGTTAGACATAGGAGGTCCCACACAGGAGAGAAACCTTTCACTTTCTCTGACTGTGGGAAAAGCTTCAATAGTAGCTCACATCTTGGTACCCATAGGAGAACCCTTACGGCAGAAACTCTTCAGCTCCTCTGACTGCAGGAAAACCTTCAGTCAGTGCTCCTGTGTTACTAGCCATCAGATAATACATACAAGAGTCTCACCTCATAACAGCTCTGATTGTAGGAAAGGCTTCAAACACAGGTCAGACTTTGTTAAACATAAGACAACCAACAGAGGAGAGAGAACCATTCAGCTGCTCTGAGTGTGGGGAAAGCTTCAGTCAGAGGTCAAATCTCATTAGCCTTCGGAGGACCCACAGAGGGGTGAAACCTATAACCTGAGTTCCTTTTAAGCTGTGTGGCCAGGTGGTTGTGCTGTAGCCTATTAAATGCCATGCAAGCTTATTGGGCTTTGGTGGGGAGAGATATATCTACCCACTGGTCTCAACCCCGGCCCAAACCTGCTGTAACCAGAGGACAGGTGGCTATTCCATGGCCCTAGTCACAGAACTACCATGGCAGGGAGAGGTGTTTCACCTGTAGAGGTTTGCAGTGTGTGACACCTAATCTGGGGGAGTGAGAGCTTGTGGGATTCTTTTCTCCTCGATGTAGCCTTTTAGTGGCCTACATGTCAATTCCCTCCATCTTTAAGATCACACCCCCAGCTGAAGCCCTCAACCAGTATTCCTTTGAAGGTTTTCAATCCAGGAGTAGAGCGAGTTTTTTCTTGTGCACAAAGAGTGATATCCTATGCACTTGTTCAGATGTGTGCCACCGTGGCATATGAGTTACTGAGAATTTTTGCGCACGCACGCTCACACACACACACTTTATAAATATACACACACAATTTAAATTGTCATGGAAGACAAATACTCAAACAGGATAATTAACAAGGTGCACAACTGTGCACACATGCACCCTGAAAACTTCCCAGCATGGCACCCAGTCTCACTCCCACATAGCCTTGCTCCACTGTTCCTGAGCCATGAGCTCCCCATCCTGTGCACCCTTTACCACCAAGCCTGCACTGTGCCCCCTTTGCTCCTAAGCCCTGCACTTTCTTCCCAATCTAATCCAGTCAAAGTGTAGTAATTTACAAAGCACAAAAACAAATGCACCATACCTCGTCATTGACTCTAAAGCTCATTCTGCAGTTGCAAGTTAATGACAGTCAGAAGATGAATGTAAGGATAGTGCCAGAAGCGCTATTTCTTCAGTCCACATTACTACACTGTATATAGGACATATAATCAATAAGTAGATTATTTCTTATAATATCTGCATGCTGTAGACCCCTATGACTGATAGAAAAGTCCCTTTAATATGTCATCATCAATTGCATATTCATTAGGCTGCTGAAGCACTCGCTGCTGCTGCAGCTCAGGCCCTGGCCAAGGCTGCCAAAGCATGCTGCTGGAGCAGGTGCCCACTGTGGCTCCTGCCCTGTCCCTGTCCTGGGCTTCTAGAACAAGCACTGTCTGCCAAACGGCCCACCCTGGAGCTGTTGAGTAGTCACTGTGCAGCTCTGGTTTGGAGGTGGGTGAGCCTGAACCTTACAGGGAACCTGCCCTCAACCCTTCCCTGAGGCTCTCGTCCCCAGCCCCACCCCAGAGCGAGCCCTCACATCTCTGCCCCAGCCGTTAGTCCCTTCCCACAATCCAAATCCTCTGAGCCTCACTCCTGTCACATTAAATTACTTTTTTACCAATACAGAGATGGTGTGTCACACATTCCCTGCCTATGCATATCCTTTCATGCAGTTGGGCTGAGCCCAAGCAGTGCCCAGGTATCTCTCAAAAACAAATGCTAACACCTTGTTTCCAATTTCCAGCAGAGGCCCTTTTATTAACAAAACCTGGCCCTTTAATTAATAGAAGCACCACCTTCTCAACTAAAGTTTATGAGTAGGGTCCTTGATTAACACAAGCATAGCCTTCTCCTTGCTGGGGTTCCCCAGTGAGGGGCTCAGATCAACAGCAACACGGCCTTCCAGGGTAAGGTCCCCTGGAAAATATCCTTACTTAACAAGTGCACAGCCTTCTCTGCTCAAGTCCACAGGTGTCTTTTGTTCACAAGTATACAGCCTTCTTGGCTCAAGTTCAATAACGGGGTACTCTTAGCACTGGCTAGCAAAGGGTTTGGCCCCTGGGTTGGAGATGGGGGACACTGTGTCCTGACCCAGGGCCCTAAGGGCAGGAAAACAGTCCACTGCTAGAATTGGTGGGGATAAGCCAAAACTCACCAACCCCCATGGGGCAATTCAAGTATCCCCACCCTGGACCACTTCCTACCATGTGTGACGGCGCGTTGGGGTTCCCCCGTCTCCTGCACCCCAAAATGGCACAAACATACTGCACCAGCCGGTGGAATAGAGGAAGTTTATTGCCTCTCCAGGATACAGCACAGCACAGATGTAATCTGGTCACAGAGCTGGGCTAGGATGCCTCAGGCCCCCTTGAGATGGGGGAGACTGGGCCCCTAAACTCCAGCCCCTAACTAACTAACCCTCTTCCAGCCCTGCCCCCCAGCCAGGGCAGCATTCCACCTTCCTTTGTTCCTCTCCATGGGGGGGTGTCTGGCCATACCGGTTGAGAGGTCCCTTTGCATAGTGACTCATCCTGTTTTGCTGGGTCGTGGTACCCACGGCAGCCGGGGGGGTTACCCCAGAGCCAGCAGCATAGAAACCAGCCAGGTACCCCCACTACGTCACACCATGCAGCGGCTGCCTACCCATAGTTGCTCTCCATCACTGGGATTGGGGTCATAGCCAGGCTTATTGGTTGGGATGAACACTTCAGCAATGACCAGGGTGAGGAACACTCAGCTTGGTCTAGTGATCCTCACTGCCATGTTCTCACTGCAACCCTTACCCGACCAAGGAACTGTGGCCTGGGGGGGATTGACCCCTGCTGATATTGCAAATCCTCTCTCAGCTTCAGACAGGTCTGGGAGGTCCTGGCATGTCTGAGACAGGGGTGTTAGTTCCCCTGGCACTCTTGGCATCCCTCGCCAGGTGATCCCTGCTTTGGATCAGACTGGCTCACTCAGGATGGGTCTCCATAGCCCTGCCACCTCCTTGCCAAGTGCTCCTCCTTCCAACTCTCTCCCCTCCCCCAGAAGTCTGGGAATATTTATAGTTCCTGCCAGGGGAACACTGGTGTAGCTGAATGCCACCAGGCGTGCACATGTACTTTCTACCACTGCCCTCCTCCAGGTAGTAAAAGGAGGTAGATTTGCCTCTGTGGCCTGGGAGCATGTGAGGCACAGCTGTCTTGCTCCAGATTGTGGCACCTCCCCTGACCGCAGTGTGGGGTGCAAGTACCCCCTTACATACCCCTAAAAAACTCATTCTGCACGTGTGGAAAAAATCAATAGAACACTGTAGGTAACTGCCCTGAGTGTGTGAAAACCTTCAGTGAGAGTTCAGAACTTGTTGAACATGGGAGAATCCACACCAAAGAGCAACCCTTCAGCTTCTCCTGTGCCACGTCCGGTACCACATCTTCCACAAATGAAGGCTATAAAACCAATTGCACCAAATCCAAGCAGGTTTGCATGATCCCAAAGATCTGCCACATTTCCAGATTAATTTATACTTTCGATCCTATCTGAAAGAGCACACTGAGCCAGTCCTTTAGAATCTAAAACCAAAAGTTTTATTAATAATGAAAGAAAGTGTTGAGACTAAAATTGTTAAAGGAAACATTGAATACACTAATTGCACTGTTTCTGGTGCAAAATTGCAGCAGAGATGGAATAAATCACTATCTTAAATCTTTCTGGAGCACGTCCCATTGTTAGGGTGGGTCAAATTCATGGCAAAGATGTTCCTGAAGTGATGAGCTGGAATGAAGATGGGAAACCCCCAGGGAATCCTTTTATGCCCTTGCCCATGAGGAGGGAATTCCATTGTTCTCATGGGCTGAGTCTAGACTGGCAAGTTTTTCTGCAAAAGCAGCCGCTTTTGAGGAAAAACTTGTCAGCTGTCTACACTGGCCAACTGAATTTGCGCAAGAACACTGACAATCTAATGTATGATCGTCAGTGTTTTTGTGCAAATACAATGACTCTCCTGTTCAGGGGAAAAAGCCCTCTTGCGCAAATGCTTTTGTGCAAGAGGGCCAATGTAGACAACTGAGAACCATTTTGTGCAAAAAAGCCGTGATGGCGAAAATGGTGATAGGGGCTTTCTTGCGCAAAACCGCATCTAGATTGGCACGGATGCTTTTCCGCAAAAAGTGCTTTTGCGCAAAAGCGTCAATGCCAATCTAGACGCTCTTTTCTGCAAATGCTTTTAACGGAAAAACTTAAAAGCATTTGTGGAAAATCATGCCAGTCTAGACGTAGCCATTGTGTGAAAATACTTCCCAAAATGGAGTTTGTCTCAGTCCTTTTAGACAAACAGCCATGGCTTACACACTGGTCTGAAGTTACACATCAAACTCTTCGGCTGTGGATTGGCACCACTTGAGGTGCATTATCAGTCAAGTATTGATATTCATTTGACTAGCGACCCTTTTGCAACAGATGGGTGCTGCCCAGGGGCAATGTGACCCTTTCACAATAGGTGGGTGCACCAAGAATTCAGGCCCTTAGGCCAGTGTATTGGGGCAATGTGTGAGCCCTGCCATAAACATTGTCTCCTTTCACTGTGGATGGCAGCTGGGCAGGAGCAGCCTGCAGCCCAAGTCCCTTTCAGCCCCAGGTGAAGGAGGTAACAGAGAGGGAAGGAAAGTCCATGGCCAGAGTCTCCTCCCAACAGGCTGGCCCTGTGCAGAGTCTATGCATAATGAAGCCTCTCAAAGCAGGACTCCGGCCTGGTCTCTGCAAAATGTTCTGCCTGGTTCATTTTTTGTTTCTGTCCTGGACAGTCAGCTCAAGAAGTGACTAGTGGAACCCAGCACCGTGGCATTAATAGCAGACCATGCTAAGCCACTGAGCTAGCCAGCCCACAGGGAAAATATTCCACAAGTGACCCCTTTGAAATGGCACTCTGGGCAGTTGCAGGGCTAGTGTGGGGTCTGGAATGAGAAGGGTGGGGCAGGAGGGTAGATTACCAAGACAGGGGCATTAGCTCAAATGGCAGAGCACTTTGGCAGGAGTGTTCTCTTCCCTCCTTTTCACAGACATAGCAGGCCAGGGGGCTCAGTGCCCCCTT